TGCATGGAAATGATTGCATGAAACATAATGTCACTGAAGAAAAGTGTCGAACATACAAATTAATTTCTTCCCAGGAAGTGTTTTTCTGTGTGCCCTTGCTTTTAGAAATGTAAAGTTCTTTTTTTTTGAAATGTAAAGTTCTTGAATTGCACAACATTAAGTCATTGGCTAGTGACCAAAAGTTGGTGGCTTGAACTGACCTAGAAGCATCTTGGAACAGAGATCTGACAAACTACTACTGAAAAATCAGCCATTCAAAACTCAATGCGGCAGTTCCACTGATACACATGTGGGATTACTGAGTCAGAACTTTTTGACAACTAGTATTTATTTGAATATGAGGTTGGCTTGGGGAGGAGGGCAGGAATGCTGACCAGGCAAGGCAGGGGCCTGGAGGGGAGGGACAGAAACAGATGTTGGAGAAAGTGGATGCTGGCAGGTAGGGCCTGGTCAGAACCAAAACACAAATGCCAAGGGGAGGGTGGTGTGGAACCAACATTTGATTGGTTACTGTTGTAATGGGAAGTGTATTTCATCTGCTCTTCTGTGTAAAATACTTGTCTGCCAGGTATTGTTCTAAGCTGAACATCTAAATTAGGGCAGAACTAGGGAGAAGGATTGACCACCTTCGAAAACGCTATGCACAATAGAGCACACTTAAATTAGACTAACAGAGATGGCACCTGAGGCTGAGTCCTTCTGTTGGCAAACACAAAGGAGGAGAAACAGTTGTAAGCAGACACTGTTATTGGAATGTGAAATGTGAGAAACATGAATGTAGGTAAATGGGATAGTGTTAAGAGAGAAACGGAACACATAATGAGATGGATTGGTATGGGATATTTTGAATCATTTTGATCTATGTTGGAAATGAAAAGGTGAGGAAGAACAGTGTTGCATTTATAGTTAAAAGACCATTTCCAGATCCATCTTGAAATATAGTGTTGTGAATGACAGGATAGTATTCACATGCGTACAAGGAACACCTCTCAGTACCACCATCATTCAGATGTATGCACCAAGAGCCAGAGCCAAAGAGGAGGAAATAGATAATTTCTACCAATTTTTGTAGTCAGAAATCAATTGAACATGCAACCAGAATATACTAAATACTAACGGGTGAGTGGAATGCAAAAGTTGGAAATGGTGGGAGAGGGTGTGGAGAGATAGGAACTCTCGTAAACTCCTGGTAGGATTGTAAAGTGGGGCAACCATTCTGAAAGGCAGGATGGTGTTTACTAAAAAAGCGGAACATAGAAATGTCATATGATCCAGCTATTCCACTCTCAGAAATATACCATAAGGAAATTAGAACTGAGACAAAACCAAAAATTTGTACACCATTGTTCATAGCAGCATTAGTCACCATCACAAGAACATGGAAACTGCGCAAATGTCCAACCACAATTGAATGGATTGAGAAATTATCATACATTCACATGATGGAATACTATGCAGTACTCAGGAGCAATGACTTTGAAAATTACTAGCTACCTTGAGAGAGACTGGAGGGCAATTATGCTGACTGAATTCAGTCTCATAAGGATAAACGCTGCATCAGATCATTATTGTAAAAAAACAAAAGGATAACTAGTAAAATGTGTGTGGAGATGTAAAGGGGAGAGGAGAGGGAGGGTGGATAGGGTTGGAAATCATAGGACTAAATAATTTGGTGGGTGGAGATGGGGGGGTGGGTAAAGGAGATTCGAAAGATTCGGTAGGGATCTGCAAAGACAGGGCAATGAAGGGCATGGTTTAATGGGGATTGAGTTTATAAAACCTAATGAATGAAAAAGACTGAATGAAACAAAATGTGAATGAGGGATAGTGTGAAATATAATGTAAACAAACTTTTTACACAAACCAATGTAATTTTTTTTTTAAGTTGGGAATGGAGAAGAAGTTTCAGTAGTCAGAAAACATGGGCTTGCTGACAGAAATGAGGCTGGAGATAAAATGATGGAATTTTGTACAGTCGATTTATTCATTGCAAATACATTTTATAAAAATGTAAATGGTGACTATGTACATGGACCTCGCCTGATGGTCTGCACAGGAAACAGACTGGCTACATTGGTGGAAAGAATCACTGGAAAAGGTCACTATCAGCTGTGGAAACTAGGCAAGTTCTGACTATTGACCATCATCTGCTCATATGCAAGTTCAAACTGAAGCTAAAGAAAATGAAATCAAATCTTTAAGAACCAAAATTTGACCTTGAGTCAATCCCACCAAAATGAAAAAACAACAACAACTCAGGAACAGGTTTGAGGCTTTGAATAGTAATAAGTGAAGACCAGCTGGACTGTGGGGAGGATATCAAGAATATTACCCATGAAGAATGCAAAAGGTCATTACAAACACAAAGGACAAAGAAAAAGACTGAGACAAATGTCAGAAGAGACTCTGAATATTGATTGCATTAGGGCACCGAGAAGCCAAACCAAAGGGAAGAAATCAGGAAATTTAAGCAGCTGAGCAGAAAATTTCAGAGGAGAGCATGGGAAGACAAAGTAAAGTATTATAATGAAATGTGCAAATAGCTAGAGTTGGAAAATCAAAAGGGATAAACTTGCTCAGCATTTCTTAAGCTGAAGGACCTGAAGAACAAAGTCAAGCCTCGAGGTGCAATACATAAGGATGCTATGGACAGAATATTGAATGATCCAGGAAGCACTGAAAGAAGATAGGAGTACACAGAGTCACTGTACCAAAAAGAACTGGCTGACACAGAAGTATTTAATGAAATAACTTATGTGCAAGAGGGAATGGTGGTGAAGAAGGAAGTTCAAACTGCTCTGGTGGAATTGGCAAAAAATAAGGCCCTAGGAATTGGTGGAATACCAATTTTCATATTTCAATAAGCAGATGCAGCCCTGGATGTGATCAACAGGCTTTGCCAAGAAATCTGGAGGACAACCACCTGGCCAACTGATTGGAAGAGATCTATATTTACTCCAATTTCAGAAAAGGGTAATCCAACAGAGTGTGGAAATTATTGAACAAAATCATTAATATCACACACAAGCAAAATTCTACTGAAGACTAATACAAGCTGGGTTTAGAAGAGGCTGTGGCACTAGGCACATCATTGTCAATATCAGATAGATGTTGGCTGAAAGCAGAGGAATGTCTATCTGTGGTCCACTGACTATGCAAAGGCATTTAACTTTTTAACAAGTTGTTGATGACCTTGAGAACAGTAGGAATCCCAGAACACCTGATTGTGTTCATGTGGAACTTATATTTGGACCAGGAGTAATTACAACAGAGCAAAGAAACATTATGTTGTTCAAAATCAGAGAAGGAGTGCGTTAGGTGTGTGTCCTGTCTCCTACACTTTTTCAATCTGTATGTAGAACAGATCATTTGAGAGGCTACACTTTATGAGAAGGATATGTGACATCAGAATTGGAGTAAGACTCATCAACAATCACTTATTCAGATGACACAACTTTAGTTGCTGAAACTCAGGAGAGTCTGTAGCATTTGCTGCAGACAGTCAGGAACTGTCTGCAATATGGATTGAAGCTCAATATCAAGAAAATGAAGATCCTCATCACTGGGCCAACTGAAAGCATCATGATAGCTGGAGAAGAGATTGAGACTATTAACAATTTCAGCTTGCTCACTTCCATAATCAACACTCTTGGCACCAGCAGTCAGAAAATCAAAAGACAATTTGCATTAAGAAAATCTGCTGTCAGGAACCTCTCTAGAGTACTTGAAGAGCAGTAATGTCAATCTAGAGACTAAGGTGTGTCTGATCCAGGCCATGGTCTTTGCAATTACTTGTTATGCATCAGAGAGCTAGACAATGACTAAGGATGATAGAAGAGTTGGTACCTTTGAGTTGTGGTGCTGGAGAAGAATAGTAAACCCACCATGGGCTATCAAGAGAACTAACAAGTCTGTCCTTGAGAGGGTGAAATCAAGGTGCTCCTTTGAAGGCAAGGATTTTGGAACTCTGTCTCACATACTTTGGGAATGTAGCCAGGAAGAACCAGTCTTTGGAGAAGAGCTTGCTTGGAAGAGTTGAGGGACAGCACAGGAGAGGAAGATCCTGGATGAGTTGGATTGACACATTAACTGGGGTAATGAGGGAAGGTGTGTCAGAGTCGCTGAGATTGGGACAAGATAGAGCAGGATTCAGAGCTATGTGCATAACATCACTACAAGTTATAGTCAACTTGATAGCACATGAAAACAACAACATGAGGCAAAAACTCTAGTGGCTCTGTGTTAAAACCCACTAATTTTTCTCAGAGATGTATGGTGAAGACCAATGGTTTGTTGGTCCAAGAAAATTTAGTTTTCAAGTATTTATGATTACATTTCTCTTTTCTTTCTTTTTATTTTTGATTGGGTGAAATCAGCACACTTATTGAATCACTTGTCCTGGGACATAGACTTACATTCTTTATTCACATTAAAACTCTGTTTATAATTTATATCAAGGATACTGTTTGAGTTGATTTTAGATTATTATTTATATTACTTTTAAATTTCAATGAGACATTTTTGTAATTTGGGCCAATGATTCAACACACTAGTAGACCAAAATCGTGAGCTTTCTAATAAACAATGAAACCATGCAAATGCAGATACGTTGTAGTCTATTCACGGAAGGTTAATGTGGTAAATTTACCAACTGTTATTAAAAGTGCAATGGGATTTCTGCAAGAATTATAATTACTTACATTTAAAATCTGTGAACCTAATTGTTCTAGTTTTTATGTACTCTCTGAAGTCACCAATTTTTCAGGGACCACTTTCTGAGAACACTACAGTTTTTAATAAGAACATTTTTGGAACAGAACTAGTAGTTGGGGTATGGCTTGGAAGGAACAAGTCCCTGGTGAAGTTTAAAGAGAACAAAACCCAGAAACGGAAAGAACAACAGGTCCTTTAGGTCTCTGGTTGGGGCTAGTTGGGGAACTGAAATATTTAAGCTACAGCCTTACAAGTGTTTCTATTTCTTCTTCCTTTGTACCTTGCAGAGTAAAAGCCAGGGATCCATCTTTGTCCGGATACACGCCCCGTGGCAGGTGCTGACCAGAGAGGCAGAATTCTTGAAGATCAAAGTTCCTACCAAGAAAGTATGAGCATGTTCCTCCCAAGTTCTGGGGTCTCATGAGGGCTGGGTGGATGCTAATACACTTTGGGAACAGGGCCAGGTGGGATGTGGGTTTTATGGAATTGCAACCCCAGGGAACCCATGATGTGGGTGTGACAGGGAAGAGAATCAGAATGGGGATAGAGGCTGGTGCTGGGAGAGAGTTTGCCACTACAGAGCACCACCTAGGTTGTGCTCTATGATCAGCCAAATGTTGCTCTGAGCTGCCTTCTCAGTTTCTCTGTTACACCTTCCTTCTCCCTCCCCCATGGGCTCCACACACTGCCATGCATTTCTTCCCTCCCACCCCCCATGCATTTCTTTAGAGTGAATGTATCAACAAGACATGCTGATAAAGAATTTGCAAAGACATGTATTCTGTTTCTGATCTGCCATTAAGTTGTATGTAACAAGAGGTTTCCATTATCTCTTCTGTAAAACAAAAAACGTTCTTAATCTTCTTAATCCAGTGATTTATCAAATTAATCTTGAGAGTGTTTAAAAGAATGTTCATGCCAATGTCTCACTCCTGTGGTATTTGACTTAGTTACCTGGTATGGAGTGAAATACTGGCATCAACATTGTGAAATTAAAAGCATCCCCAGGATATTCTGATACTCATCTGGATTGTGGACTACTTAGCTTACATGATTTCCAAGGTCCTTTTTTAGGAGCTCTGGTGGCCTGATGGTAGGACCTTGTGCTGCTGACCCAAAGGCATGTAGTTTTAATCCACCAGGTGCTCTGAGGAAGAATGTACTCCCATCTTTCTATGCAGCTTACAACCTCTGGAGGGTCAGCTGTGAGTTGGTTCTGACTAGATGGCACATACCAACAACAATAACAAGGTCCTTTTTTAGGTACAACAGCCTATATATATGATAAATGATTAAAAGAATTTCCAGGAAATGCCTACATGACATGCTTCCTTATAAAACAAAACTCAGCGAACAGCTCCAAATAGAAAGACACATGTGCCCACAGATCATTCATTCTTCTTATAAGGAGAAAGTGACTGTTGACTTTGATCATGTGAGATGTGTCTAGAAAGTATCCTGGGGCAGAAAATGCTCTAGTTTAACCATAGGTAACATACATGTGCGCGTGCATACCCCCCCCCCACTATTGCTCAGAAGTAATGACTCAACTTTGAGGAGATATCTACATCATTCTACTACCAGCATAATTTCCTCCCTTCCTACCCTTAAAAGCATTTCATATCAATTGCCTCTGTACCACCACTTCTGATGACCTTTTCTTATCTACACTTCCTCACCCTTCTTCTCATCACCATTGCCACTACCAGCAGTATTGTGACAGTCCACATCATCATGGAGCTTTACTTCATTGGCTTTATTAACACCCTCTTCTCTACCAACAGATCTACCTTCTCCATCAAAACCCACTATTCAATACCATTAAACCAAAGAATAGATTGGCCTAGAAAATAAAATGGTGGCACTTGTGAGCAATGTGCTCCTCTAAATAATCAATTCTAGGAGAACAAATGGTCAACATCTACACAAAAGCAAAGGGAGCCAGAGGGGCAGGTAAGTGCAGAAATGACAAGAGGGCTGACATTGTGGAGACAGTAACAAATGCCAAGGAAAAAAATTGTGTAGGAATTGTGGGATACGAACATAATTTTCTGTGTAAACATTCACTAAAACCACATTCTGGCTCATGGTGACATCACCTCATTAGATTTCTACAGTTGTAAACTGGTGGCCTCGTGGCAAGGTGCTGTGCTGCCAACCCAAAAGCATGAGCTTTGAGTTTACCAGTCGTTCCATTGGAGAAAGCTGGACAATCACCTCCCATGTGATTTCTTGTCTCTGAAATCTCACTGGAGGGTCAGCTATGATTCGATTTTAACTTGACAGTGCATAAGAATAACAAATACTTGCATGTGACTGATGCCATCATGAATCTCCTATTTAAGAAGATGGAGGCCTTTGGGTTCTGACCTTGGAGATTATTAAGATGGGCAATCATTCCCTGGCAAGTGGATCAATGATGGTTAAGGTGATGTACAAATGCAGGCATGCATACCCGTTTTAAACATGTTTTACAAATGAGATGTGCATTTATTATGAGCCCTGTGCCTACAGTGTCTTGGTTTCACATAAAAAGGAAGGCAAGACAAACCACAGAGTGCTTTTTTCTCTTACAATGTCACTGTGACTTTGATTTCATACCACCTGAATTT